TCCATCATGCTTTGGTCGAAGTCCGTGGGGCGATTTGTGTGAGTCTCGGTGGACGTCCCCCTAGGTCTTGTTGCCGTGTCTTCTTCTGTCTGCAGGCCAGAGGCAGGAGGTGGTGTAGGAGTAGTGCCCGGGGAGCCATTAGAAGAGCTCCTCTCCTTGTTTGTTGCCATGTCTTGTAATGTCTTTGATTTGGAAGTGGTAGAGTTTCCCCTGACTGCTCTCATACCATGTTGGGCTGAGATGGCCCCTTAGGATCTTTTCAGGAGTAACTCTGGGTAGGATAGTATTGTAACAGCGGAAGCTTTAATAAAACTTGTGAATCACCTTGCGCTAGTGTGTGAGGGCAAAGTAGATTGATTATAACAGGAAAGTACAAGAATATATAGTAGTGCAAGGAATATCAAAGGATACAGTTATAACTACTTTTACTGTTGCTGTTGCGGTTCGATACAGTACGACTCGGGCAACTGCTCTGTAACGAGTCAGTTGTATGTCCTTAACTGTCGCGCTGTACTTGTCGGGTCAAAGGTTGCTGACCTTTGACTTTCGCGTAACCTCCAGCAACCTCTTTTTAACCTCCGAGGGTTGACTCGCGGGTGCTTCGGTGTAGTTTGCCTCGCTTCTGGTGCGGTGTTTCGACACGACTGAAGCGCTTAAGTTTTATTGTTTCCAACAATAATAAGCCCACCCCTCTAAAAACCCCTGTTTTATTATCCCACCCCCCCAATGGAATTTATCCGGAGGGTGACGGTACTAATATATTTTTACCATTTACAGAAAATCGAACAGTTATATATCAGGGCGACCTCATTTCAATATACGAACCTTTCGCTTGAATATATGCTCATATAAATATGAATGTACCATGATGTATTTGTCCAGATGATTATCTCTCTTTCTCTATATTATGTAGCTATTTGTACATCAAACTGTGAAACATATTTGTCCCAATGTTAGATGTATTATGTTTCTGCGGCTTATGCTTGTCACGGTAATCCCTATCGAAAACAAGGGGCTTGGCGAGAAGGAGTTCCGCCAAGAGTTCTGGTTTGGTTTCCGCAGGTTCGGTTTAGGTGGTGGGAAGGGGCGGGGGGGGGGGGGGGGGGGGGGGGGGGGGGGGGGGGGGGGGATCTTGCGCTTTGGTTTGGGGTGGGGCTCGTTTTGGGGACAGATTCGTGCGTGTTGTGGGATTCGCTTCTGTTCTGACATGCCTGCCTCCACTGTAGTGAACCACCGAGGGTCCACTGGTGAGGCTGCGTGGGTTGCGCGCCAGGACAACTTTCTGCTGGGAACAGTGCCACTCTTGGGCATACTATTCGCTTGATTACACCTGCAAACGATCTCGGGCAAACTTTGAGTATGTATGAAGTTGGCCGATGCTTACTAGAAACGCGTTCCAAGCTATAGGCGGAAAAGGATTTCCAAGTCTCCCGAATCAGGCTTCTATCACTGACCCGAGCGTGTAAGATTGGTTCAGGGCAGGCCTCGACAGATTGTTGTTGCGAAAGTAACTGACCGACAAGGCTCGCTTTTGTTCCGGCGACATTGTTACCTTTCATCGAACTGTATTTCGTTTGGGTCAATTTGCGAAAATAGTGTCACGATCTAGTTGGGTGGGGGACCTGACTCAAGTGAAACCGGGGCCCACAGTAATCCCCAAATCACGCAAAGGCCTTCACTAAAAAATCATTGGAAGAATCTAGGGTGAACACTAAGGACGCGGCACCTCTAGCACCGATCCTGCGATCGATCCTGCTCAGGTTCGAATTTTTCAGGAGTTCAAAATGGTGTTGAAGGCAGGATTTCAGTGCGGTGGAATCAGCGATCCTGGGATCGATCCTGCTCAATTTCTACCGCGTCCTAAGGAGGTCGTTTTTCAATAAGGCACATAAAATCCGACAAGACATCGCTTTAAATGATGCAATACACATATATTAGATGGAAAAGGGTGTCGTGAAAAGAATCTTTAGCTAAACGGGGGTCTTCTCAATGTATTCTAAAATAAGTACTGTACTCCGAACCCCGCAAAAACGACCTGAGGGACCCGCAAATTGGCGGATGTTATACCCATAAAAATAATATGCTTTTTACCACACATAGGAATATCAACCTACATTGTTGTTGCCCGAAGCTCACATGGTTGGGCGAGGGAACAAGGTCCTAGCTTTCTGCTTCTTCCTCCTCCCCTTGGTCCCCGTTGCTTTGTGCAAGAGAATGGGTCTGGTGCTGTTCCCTATATCACCAGATACATTGTCCTGCTCAATGATGGGGGGTTGGCATGCAACAGTGGTAGCCGAGAGAATGAAAATGGGCCTGGCTCGGTCCCCAGTAACACCTGGGCCATTATGGGCTTGTGAAATCAAGAAGGTTAGCAATGAGCAAAGGTGGCAGGGAAGGACAGGGTGCTTGATGTCCCCTTGCCACTGACACGCAACCAGTAGGGGCTGCAAGGGAGAGAGATTGCCAGTAAGACTGGACGTCAAAAGAGAACAGCAGTAAGAGCAGCCGCAAGAATGATTACATAAGGAGACATACAACAGAAAGAACGGGGCACACAATCAGTAGGGGCTGCAGGCAGGGTCTTCGCTATCAGATTTTTTTGGTCTGTTTGTCTGATTATCAGACAGATTTTTTTGGCTTCATATGATTTTCCAGTCAGGATCAGACAATTTTTTTTTTTTGCCCGGGGGGCCCATCTGATGCATCAGACATACCTCAGACCCTAGGGAGAGCCCTGGCTGCAGGGGAGAGAGAATGCCAGTAAGGGTGGAAGTCGAAAGTGAACAGCAGTAAGAGCAGCTGGAAGAAAAATGCATAAGGGCAGCGCAAAGGGCGCGCGAAGGGGCAGCGCGGGGCGCGCGCTGGAGCAGGTATGTGTGTGTGCTAGCCTGTGTGTGTGTGTGTGTGTGTGTGTGTGTGTGTGTGTGTGTGTGTGTGTGTGTGTGTGTGTGTGTGTGTGTGTGTGTGTGTGTGTGTGTGTGTGTGTGTGTGTGTGTGTGTGTGTGTGTGTGTGTGTGTGTGTGTGTGTGTGTGTGTGTGTGTGTGTGTGTGTGTGTGTGTGTGTGTGTGTGTGTGTGTGTGTGTGGTGTGTGTGTGTGTGTGTGTGTGTGTGTGTGTGTGTGTGTGTGTGTATGTGTGTGCTGGCAGGTACGTGTGTGTGCTGGCAGGTATTTGTGTGTGCTGGCATGTATGTATGCGTGCTATGTGTGTGCGATATTTCAAACTCTTGCCGTTGATTCCTCCTTCAGCTAACCCCAGCCTCCATTCTATCCTCCCTCTCACATCACAACACGCATCAGTGGTAGAGAAAGGAGTGAAAATTAGGCCCTCAGATATCAGCGTAAAACACGCTGATTAGGCTGATTTTGTAGCTGTGATTTTCGTTTTCCCTGAAATTTCAGTATATTCTTTATGTTTGCACTGATTTTTCAGTTTGAAGTGTAGGACTACCCTGACGAATTTGTGTGTAGGTGTACCAGTAACACTGAAGCTTCAGTACAGTGTACCGAGTCACACTGATTCGGGCATTGCAAAATGTATCGGGAACAGGGATAGGGTGCGCGTATATGGGGCTTTAAGCCCAGAATCATTGCCACATATAAGTGGACGTATCACATACGGGCTTCGAACTCGTGACTTTCCCAGTTACAGGGCCAAACCTTAGACAGCTACGCTACTAGCGCTGCCCAGGGAGTGCAATTTAAATTTCCGGACTGATAAATCATTAAGCAATGAAATTTTACCCTGACAAAATCAGCATAAACTTGACCCCCAACGCTGATTTGGTCACTAATTTGGGCAGGGCACGCTGATCCATCAGCATACCCTGAAACCAATCTGAGGGCCTGGTTAAAATGGTCCTGCTGCTGTCCCCACCAACACTTGAAGCGTATGATTTGTCACGTCAAGGAGGTTAGCAAGCACTCACCTCATACTCCTTACTGCATGCAAGTGCCAACAGCTGCAGAGGAGACAGCACTCACCTCATACTCCTTACTGCATGCTTCAAGTGCCAACAGGTGCAGAGGTGACAGCACTCACCTCATACTCCTTACTGCATGCTTCAAGTGCCAATAGCTGCATTGGTGACAGCACTCACCTCATACTCCTTACTGCATGCTTCAAGTGCCAATAGCTGCAGCAGTGAGAGCACCTGCCTGCTTCCTATGCATGGCAAATCACTCAGGAGGGGAGCTTGCTGGCTGATGGGGCCCGATGGGAGAGGAGTAGAGGAAGCACGAGTATTGAGACGTGTGGCAGATGATCTGTGCTCGTTGGAGGTTGATGATGGCAGCTGCTTGCAGGGGAGCTTGCTGGCTGGTGGCAACTGGTAGGGATGAGGGGAGCACAGCAGTCAAGGGCAATAAGATTTGGAAACCATTGCTCAAGGAAGTAGCTAGCCTGCTTGAAAGGCTGTCAACCTCACATGCTATGCTGCCCAAAACTATGTGAAGAGTGATGTGGCTGGCAGGGCTCTCTTTTATCCCCCCTCTTGCATCCCAACCCCTCCTCCCCCCACCACCCACCTACCTCTCCCCCCCCCCGCCCTCCCCTCCCCTTTCCCCAATTCTTTGTTCCACCACCCTCAGAACTTGCAAAGCAACTGCCAATCTGACTGAGAACTGGTATTCCAATCTGCCAACTGAGACTGAGCATTTGAGAAACCCAATTTGAGAATTCGTACCTCAAATGAGCATTGAGTCACAGAAACAAGTACAGTTTCAGCTTTTCGTATACAACATGTGTAGCTTTACAGGTCTCAAGAAATACATCCCCAGGGCAAGTGCTATGGGTAGGCAAGAAAGAAAAAAAGCATTCTACACTATGCCTCCAGAAAGGGTTTTACTGAGTGGAGGGGAGAAGGGGCCTTTTCGAGTAAAGGGGAGAAGGGGTTGAGTGGAGGGCGAAATGGACGTTCCACTGAGCAGAAGAGAGTAGCTATCCACGTTGAAGCATGTGCAGGTGGCACCATGATAGCCTGTGCAACCATCCTTGTCCTCCTACTCCGTAGAGCACATGACTGAGCGGAACGTGTACTTAGAAAAGGGTACAGGGTTGTCCCTGGTTAATGGTAAAAAGGGGAGGACACAGCGTATACAATGACTTCAAGAGCAAGTGTGCATGAAAAGAGGTGATGGATGCAGGAAGGGAAGTGAAAAAATTCAGCAAGTGTGCAGGTGGAGAAACACCAATCACTCGCAGTGGGGTTGGAACAGGATAAATCACTCACTCGAAGTAGTAAAGATAAAACGGCGAGTTTGAGTTGTCAATCTCGTCCGCAGGATCGCCTGCACAGTTGTCTGCTGAGTAAAACTTGTAATGCTGACATCGTGGAGCGTCCTCGGTGTTCTCGACACTATACAGGGTCGTGTATTTCCCACGCACTGCCTCCGGGTATTGAGTGCTGGCATTCAGGTTGGGGCGAAACGTATACGGCTGCGACGCATCGCCCGGGGCCCTTCGGTCTACGATGAGTGTGTAGCTGGTTGAAGAGACGGTGGAAGTGCCACCTGGAAAATAGTGGTGCAAGGATGGACGCAGCACAATGTTTGGCGCACAAGAAACAATGTTTGTTGCAGCTTTCATGCACTCCCACATTCATGCACATCTTCATGCATTCATACGCATTGCCGTTCGGAGTAGAGAGAGTGGGGCAAGTAGAGAGTGCAGGTGATGTCAGAAGAACTAGGCAAGAATGATTGAAAGGAGAGAGAGGGTTTGAACTAGCAGGCAGTTGAGTACAAATAGCAAACCCTAGATTGGGCTGTACTCGCTATAGAGTACCCCACTGCAGGCTAGACAATAATAGCATTCTGACACACCCCCATAGCCAAAGTGGGGTGTAATCAGCAGAGCAAGCAAAGCAGTACAAGCTCAGGGTGGATCACAATGTCACCACACATTCTGAGCACAAGTTCAAGAAGCAATAGTTTAAAGTTCACAGTTATGAGCAAAGCTAGAGGCAGTCACAGAGGGCAAGCGAGGAGGAGGAGGGCTGGCGAGAGGAGAGAAGATGAAAGGCGCCGACTGAAGCTGCAGACACACGGGCAACAGGAGCGGCGCGCACAGTGGCTACCGAGCGCACGAGGGCACCGGACTACGGGAGTATCTGGCTCCGCGGCTACGACGAGCACACACAGGAGCAACGGACCCACAGGCGACTGGCGAAGCAGGCTCGCTGGGCTACCGAAACGCGCGAGGGCATCCGGACTACTGGCGCTGCTGGCGTCACGACGGCTACCTCCACGCAATCTCCCCCGACCGTCCCACGCCCCTCTCACACACCCCCTGCTGACACCCTAGCTCCACTCCGACGGTACCCCCCTTAAACCCCAAACCCTAGGCTCCCACACACCACCCCCCTCAGCGGCAGCTGTAGCAGAGGGAGACGAGGGAGGAGGAGGAGCAGGGGGAGGAACTCACAACCGACACCCCCATAGCCGCCACCCCCACACTCTTCACCCCCAAACCCTAATTTAGGAGAACGGGCTGTAGGAGGGGTGAGGCGCCGGTAGAAGCACGGGGGACAGTGGAGAGGGCAGGAGCAGCGAGGAACGGGCCGCCCACGGGCCTGGTAGAGCCGCCCGAACCGCGCGCAGGCGGCCCGAGCCGCGCGCGGGCCTGGCGCTTCCCGTACGGGCCGCGCGCGTGCCTGGCGCAGCCCGTACGGGCCGCGCGCGGGCCTGGCGCAGCCCGTACGGGCCGCGCGCGGGCCTGGCGCAGCCCGTACGGGCCGCGCGCGGGCCTGGCGCAGCCCGTACGGGCCGCGTGCCGGGTGTACGGGCCGCGCGCAGGCCACGACGGGCGACGGGGGGCGACGCGCGGGTCCCCGTCGCCCGTCGCAGCGCCTCCCGGGGGCGACGTGCCGAGTGACGGGGCAGGAACCCGCCGCGCGCCTCGGGGCACACGGCGGGCAGAGAACCGCCGCGCGCCTCGGGGCGCACGGCGGGCAGAAAACCGCCGCGTGCCTCGGGGCGCACGGCGGGCTGAAAACCCTAGTTTCGACGCCGCGCGCCACGGGGCGCGCGGCGGACAGGGAGTAGCAGTAGCAGTAGCAGTAGCAGCGGAAGGCTTAGGTGGTGGGCCCACCCACAGGATCGACCCAGGAGGGTCGACCTGCTCTGATAGCATGTCAGAAGAACTAGGCAAGAATGATTGAAAGGAGAGAGAGGGTTTGAACTAGCAGGCAGTTGAGTACAAATAGCAAACCCTAGATTGGGCTGTACTCGCTATAGAGTACCCCACTGCAGGCTAGACAATAATAGCATTCTGACAGGTGATTCATGGAAAGAGAGGATGGGACGAGACTGGGCAGGAGAAGATGGGGCGAGCAGGTGAATCCTGGCAAGGTGAGGATGAGACTAGTAGGGAGAGGAGAGAATGGGGCGAGCAGAGCGAGCACGCAGCAAACAGGCTCACCTTTGACACACTTGGTCTTGGTCATTCCAAAGCCTTCAGGGCAAGCGCAGTAAGGCTTTTGAGTCGGCTTTTGAGTCTACTCAAAAATGAGGTAGGCTCACCCTTGACACACTTGGTCTTGGTTATCCCATAGCCTTGAGGGCAGGCACAGTAAGGCTTTTGAGTCGGCTGTTGAGTCTGCTCACAGATGGGGCAGACTCACTCACCCTTGACACACTTGGTCGGGGTTATCCCATAGCCTTGAGGGCAAGCGCAGTACGGAATGCGCTTCTCATCTTTGAACTCATCGGGAAATGTCATGCAGGTGGCTCCCGAGGGGCAGTCGTCACAGGGTGAGTCTGAGGGGTGGGCATGGGTGCAGTGCGGTGTGTGAGTGCAATCGGCAGTGGAGATTGGGGTTAAGGATTGGGAGAAGCAAAGCAGAGGGGGGTAAGCAAGGGACGAGTAATGCAGTGATGGGATAACCATGAATAATGGATGAACGTGAGTGCAGTGCAGTGCGGTATGAGAGCGTGCTTGTTAGTGGAGGGGTGGAGATCCAACACGGGCATGACTAAACATTATGAGGCAAGGAGGAGGGGTGGCAGAATGACTAAACATTATGAGGCAAGGAGGAGGGGTGGCAGAATGAATGACTAAACATTATGGGGCAAGGAGGAGGGGTGGCAGAATGACTAAACATTATGAGGCAAGGAGAAGGGGTGGCAGAATGACTAAACATTATGAGGCAAGGAGGAGGGGTGGCAGAATGACTAAACATTATGAGGAAGGGAGGAGGGGTGGCAGAATGACTAAACATTATGAGGCAAGGAGGAGGGGTGGCAGAATGAATGACTAAACATTATGAGGAAGGGAGGAGGGGTGGCAGAATGACTAAACATTATGAGGAAAGGAGGAGGGCTGGCAGAATGACAAAACATTATGAGGAAAGGAAGAGGGCTGGCAGAATGACTAAGCATTATGCACTCTCATGCTCTTGGGGTGAGAACATGAGGTTCAAAAGGCAGGAACAAAGTGGAAACTGTCAAACTATAATGATGCTTGTGCTGTGTAGGCTGTAGTGGGGTAGCCCATAAGGGGTACAACCCAAATTAGGGTAAGTATTTGTACCCACATTTCTGTTCAATGCATCATTCTCTACTCGTTAGTTTCTGACAGAAACTTGAGTGGCAACCAAACAGAAAACAGAAACTTGTGTGGCAACCAAACAGAAAACAGAAACTTGTGTGGCAACCAAACAGAAAACAGAAACTTGTGTGACATCTAAACAGAAAACAAAGGCATGAGGAATGGGGTTAGCTTGGCTGGCTGGATTTCAAGAGTTGATCGAATGGCTGAGAAGAGTTAGAGAACTGGAGAGCTGGAAAGCTGCTGTTTCACCCATCCCACCCCACGGGCAGGAACGCTCACCTACTGGCTATGCAGTAGAGCTAATAATATGAGGGTTGGGTTGAGTTGAGTTGAGTTGAGTTGAGCATAGGAGAGGTAGAGGATCCACAGAGGCAGGATAGCTGTCCATTCTTATCGCCATTAGGAGTGGGCGAGGTGCAGTAGGGAAGTAACTTCATCAGTGCTAATGGTTGAGTTGAGCACAGGAGAGGTAGAGGACTCACAGAGGCAGGAAAGCTGTCCCTTGTGATCCATCACACAGGTGCCATCCCTATCGCAACCCAACTCTGCGCAGGCAGGATCTGCAACACAGGCAGAAAGAATGTTACGGGCAAATGACTCACAGAGGCAGGAAAGTTGTCCCTTGTGATCCATCACACAGATGCCATCCCGATCACAACCCAACTCCACCCAGGCAGGATCTGCAACACAGGCAGAAAGAATGTTACGGGCAGAATGTTCCATGTTCACACCAAAAGGGCAAAGAGCAAAATTATGGGAATGCTTACTGCAGGGCAAAGCGCAAAGATGTGGGAAACCTTATAGATACCTCTGAAAGGGCAAAGAAAAAGATATGGGAATGCTTATAGACACACCAAAAGGGCATTGAGATGGGACATGACGTGAGGCAGCATCTGCATCAAAGAGGCAAGAGGAAGTGGCGACGCGACTGACTAAAAGGCACCTTAAGGGCGATTGTCTAAGAGCTGACTCGCCTTAGAGGAAGGCGCGGCTGCTTGGAGATGCTTGCATTCAACTGCTTGTAGCATTCCACCGGCCATTCGGAATAACAACCGTTTGGAGTCTCACCCTTCGGAGTCCCACCCTTTTAAAGGCGTCCCTTTGTAGGCGGGTGAGCAATCAGCTTACCACTGGAGTCGAGTGTTGTGGAGAGGATAGACAGTTTTGAGTCAACTCAGAACTTGGCTTACCACTGGAGTCGAGTGAGGTGGTGCAAAGGACAGACAGTTTTGAGTCAAATCAGAACTCGGCTTACCACTGGAGTCGAGTGAGATGGTGCAGAGGACAGACAGCACGGAAGCAGTCGTGCTAATTGTTTTCACTGAGCTTGGAAACCTGAAGGGCGTGGCAAGTGGAAGCATGCCCACACAACGTTAAAAATCATTCAACTCTCCCTTCCCTCCCCCTCCCCTCCCCCTCCCCTCCCCCTCGCCTCCCCTCCCATCCCCTCTCCAAGTCATGCTCAACTTGTGTCCTCACGACATGCCTCACACACAGTCACACCGCCCAAGCTCACACCATCGCACACCACCCAAGCTCACACCATCCAAGCTCACACCATTGCACACCACCCAAGCTCACACCATCACCCACCACCCAAGCTCACACCATCGCACACCACCCAAGCTCACACCATCGCACACCACCAAAGCTCACACCAACGCACACCACCCAAGCTCACACCATCGCACATCACCCAACACTCACTTGCCCGCAGCAGCGCCTGAATCAACCATGATATCCACCGCAGTGCCTTGACAGCCGGTTTTCTCAAAAAACTTGATCTGCGCGCACGAGAGGCTTTCTGGATCGCTGCCAGATTCCACGCTGCTCGAGGCCCCCCCACGGCCCTTCCACCACACCCGCACGTTCTTCTGCCGCGTTGCCATCCACGGCACGGTTATGCAGCGCTGGTTGGCGAATTTCGGCAGCGCCAATGTTCCCATCGCCACCCTGGTGGTAACCCCGTCGACCGATGCAAAACCTGGAGCAGTTCGTAGGATGCTTGAACATGCTTAGCAACATCGTATCTACTTTGCTGGAAAAAGTGATGACAATGCTGTATCTAAATATGCCTGAACATAGTACGAAAAAACTGGGAAGGGAAGTGGTGGTGGTGCTGGTGGTGTTGTCAACAATGGTGATGCGGCGGGTGACACAGGGAGGCAGGAACGCGAGAGAAGCAGACTGACCGACGATGAGGGCAAGGGCGAGCAGCAGGAGTCCCGCAGGAGAAGCACCCATCGACCCCATGATGATGATAACGGCGGGGGTCCCGCGGAAGAACTTGCGGCGGACGAGACGCAGAAGACGATAGTTTGTGGTGTGATGTGCGGTTCACGCCGGTGCAGAGTCACACTGAGTGTGCCGCTGCGGTGTAAACTGCGGGTTAAGTGTGTTGAATGACGATAGTCCGATACAATAGTTAGGGCAAAAGGATAGAAGCGGAGAATGGAAGCATCAGAGATGGAAGAATGGCAGGCTTGTTTCAAACTTCGATCTGCTGTGGTTTGCGTTTGCGAGTTACGGCAACGGTGACCTAAGTACCGTAACAACCGCCGCGCCATGAAGGATGATGTGTGCAGAGTCAAGATAAACTTGAACCGAAACTATTTTGAAATGTGAGGAACGCGATAAGTGCTTAGCTCGAGTGAGTCGCGGGGACGAGCCAATCTGAATCTAGGAACGCGATCCGAGCGACGGGACGCCATCGCGGCGATGGGACTACTCTACAAAAAATGGGCCAGCGTTTTGGGGCCCAAACGGACCACTGCTCACGTGTACCAGGTGTTTCCATGCCAGAGCATACCCCAAGGAATGCGCAGGATTGAGTGGAGCATGAGCAAGCCTTCACACCCATCTCAAAAGTACCTGCCTTTTCATAACCCACACGTGCCAGCCTCCTTATTACGATCTACTTCATTATTAACAGAAAATATGTCAACTGTTTTACTGTTTTATAAACAACCACTATGCATGGGAGTAATAAAAAACATAAAAGGCAGAGGTCGAAGCCACCATTCTGTCAAACATTATATATGTTGTGTTTGTTTAGGCTACAGTGGGTTAGCCTATAGGGGGTACACAATTCTAGGGTTAGGTACTTGTACTGATTTCACTGTTAGTTCAATCATTCCTGTCCGTTCATTCTGACATGGTATCAGAGCAGGTCCTTCACTAGGACCGTTTTAGGGCCCACCGCTACCTACCTACCTACCTACCGTGCGCCCTCGTGCGCCCTCGCGCCCTCGTGCGCCTCTTACTACCGTGCGCCCTCGTGCGCCCTCGCGCCCTCGTGCGCCTCTTACTACCGCGCGCCCTCGTGCGCCCTCGCGCCCTCGTGCGCCTCTTACTACCGCGCGCCCTCGTGCGCCCTCGCGCCCTCGTGCGCCTCTCCCTACCGCGCGCCCTCGTGCGCTCTTGCGCCCTCGTGCGCCTCTCCCTACCGCGCACGCACGGCCTGCTCGCGGCCCGCTTTCCGCGGCGTCGTCGCCAGCCCGCGGCGTCGTCGCCTGCCCGCGGCGCCGTCGCCTGCCCGCGACGTCGTCGCCTGCCCGCGGCGTCGTCGCCTGCCCTCGTCGCGTCGACCTGCCCGCGGCGTCGCCACCTGCCCGCCGCGTCGCCCTGCCCGCGGCGTCGCCACCTGCCCGCCGCGTCGACCTGCCCGCGGCGTCGCCACCTGCCCGCCGCGTCGACCTGCCCGCGGCGTCGCCACCTGCCCGCCGCGTCGCCCTGCTCGCGGCGTCGCCACCTACCCGCCGCGTCGCCCTGCCCGCGGCGTCGCCACCTGCCCGCCGCGTCGCCCTGACCTAATCCGCCTCTCGCCCCTGGAGCAGCCGCCACTGCAGCAGCAGCCCCTGGAGCAGCCGCCACTGCAGCAGCAGCCCCTGGAGCCGCCCGCCACTGCAGTAGCAGCCCCTGGAGCCGCCCGCCACTGCAGCAGCCCCCCCTGGAGCAGCCCGCACCTGCAGCAGCCGCCCCTGGCCCCTGGAGCCGCCGCCACTGCAGCAGCCGCCCCTGGCACCTGGAGCAGCTGCCGTCGCGGCCCGGCCTCGCCCTGCAGCAGCTGCCGCGGAGCTCCCTGCTGCGGCCCGGCCCAGCCCTGCAGTTGTAGCGGCCCCGCTGTCGCCACCGTCTTGCGCCTGCCGCGCCGACCACTGGTGAGCATTGCCCAGCACTGCTACCGCTGCTACTGCTGCTACTGCTGCTACTGCCTTTTCTACTCCCACTGCCACAGCTCCTGCTGTTACTACTGTTGCTGCCGCTACTGCTACTACTGCTGCTCCTGGCGTGGCCAGATGCAGCTCCAGGGCCGTGCGCGTGAGTCCCTCACGCCCCAGCAGCTTCGTGCGCGTGAGTGGTACGCTAGTTGGGGCTGTCGGGGTGGCCGTCGTGGTCGTCGCTCTGGAGTGCGTTGTTCGGGAGCATCTGGTAGTGGACAGGTGCAGCAGCAGTGTCCTCTTACGCTCCAGCGGGCCCGTGAGTGGTACGCCAGTTTGGGCTGTCGGGGTGGCCGTAGTGGTAGTCGCTCTGGCGTGCGTTGTTCGGGAGCATCTGGTAGTGGACAGGTGCAGCAGCAGTGTCCTCTTACGCTCCAGCGGGCTCGTGAGTGGTACGCGAGTTTGGGCTCTCGGGGTGGTGGTCGTGGTAGTCACTCTGGAGTGCGTCGTTCGGGAGCTTCTGGGCGCGGACCGGTGCAGCTGCCGTGTAGTGTGAGTGAGGCTGCCGCTCTAGGTGCTAGTGAGACCGCCACTGCAGGTGCTCGCGTGTCTGCCACCTCAGGTGATGGTGAGGCTGCTGCTCTAGGTGCTAGTGCGTCCGTGCCCGCTGGTACTGAGTCGACTGCAGCACTGCACACCTTCACACTGGACTCAGGTGCTTCTCGCTGTTTCTTTCGTGACCGCACTGTCCTTGAGCCACTCGCTCGGCCAGTTGCTGTCTCCCTCGCTGACCCCTCTGGGGGTCCGGTCGTTGCGACCTCCTCCACTGTCCTTCCTTGTCCTGCGGTCCCGTCAGGCACACTGTCAGGTCTCTACCTCCCCTCGTTCTCTACGAACTTGGTGGCGGGTAGTGCGCTCCAGGACAGGGGTGTCCACCAGTTCACCCCTGCTTACGAGCGCGTGACCCACTGCACGTGTGCTCGGACGGGCCGTCACCTGGCTACCTTCACTCGGCAGCCGGGGTCGGACCTGTACACACTGACCACTGAGTCCCCTCAGGTCGCTGCGTCCGCGTCTGCGTCTGCGTCAGGTCAGCTGTCCGCCCCCTGCTCGTGTCGCTCTCTGGCGCATGAGACTGTCCTCTGGCACCACCGCCTTGGTCACCCGTCTGTGCAGCGCCTTCGGGCCATGCACAAACGGGACCTTGTTGCTGGTCTTCCCAGGGTTCTCCCTCCCCTCCCACCCTCGCCTGCTCCTCCCTGTCTTCCCTGTGTCGAGGGGCGGCAGCGCGCCGCTCCTCACTCCTCCTCCTTCCCCCCGACGACTGCTCCTTTGCAGACGCTCCACATGGACGTGTGGGGCCCAGCCCGCGTCCGTGGTCAGGGTCAGGAGAGGTACTTCCTGATTGTTGTTGACGACTTCTCGCGCTACACCACGGTCTTCCCCTTGCGCGCCAAGGGTGACGTCCCTGATGTCTTGATCCCTTAGATCCGCAGATCTCGTCTCCAGCTCAGTGAGCGTTTCCGCTCCGACTTCCCTGTCCTGCGTCTGCACTCTGACAGAGGTGGGGAGTTTTCCTCTGGCCTCTTGGAGGCCTTCTGTCAGCAGGAGGGCATTGAGCAGTCGTTCACACTTCCGGCCTCTCCACAACAGAATGGGGTTGCTGAGCGCCGCATTGGCTTGGTCATGGAGGTCGCTCGTACCTCCTTGGTTCATGCGGCTGCCCCCCACTTTCTGTGGCCGTTTGCAGTCCGATACGCTGCGCATCAGCTCAACCTCTGGCCCCGTGTCTCCTTACCGGAGACTTCTCCGACACTGCGTTGGACGGGAGAGGCTGGCGATGCGTCGCGTTTTCGGGTCTGGGGATCTCGAGCTTTTGTTCGCGACACGTCCGCGGACAAGCTCTCCCGTCGCGCTGTCCCCTGTGTCTTCCTTGGCTTTGTCCCGGACGCGCCTGGTTGGCAGTTCTACCACGCCACCTCGCGTCGTGTCCTTGCCTCTCAGGACGTCACTTTTGACGAGTCCGTCCCCTACTACCGCCTCTTCCCCTACCGCACTGCCCCGCTCCCCCCCCCGCCTCTCTTCCTCGCTCCAGGTGCTGAGGTACCAGACCCCCTCCCCCCTCAGGGTGCCGCTCCCTCAGGTGTGTCCCAGGTAGACCCGGTTGAGCCTGTCGAGGTAGCTGTTGACTCTCGTCCTGCTGGGGGTACTGAGCCTGCCCGTGAGGAGTCTGGGGGTGCGGAGCCTGGGGGTGCGGAGCCTGGAGGTGCTGAGCCTGGGAGTGCGGAGTCTGGAGGTGCTGCGTCTGGGGGTGCTGCGTCTGGAGGTGCTGAGCCTGGGGGTGCTGAGCCTGACCGTGCTGAGTCTGGGGGTGCGGAGCCTGGGGGTGCGGAGTCTCGAGGTGCTGAGCCTGGGGGTGCTACGTCTGGGGGTGCTGTGTCTGGAGGTGCTGATCCTGAGCGTGCTACACCTGGAGGAGCCCTCTCCTCCCAGCAGCTGCAGGAGAGGTACCTACAGTACTGCCGCCTCCGGAGAGGTGCTACTGGAGCTCGTACCAGTACTTCCCCTCCTACCCAGGAGCTCCCCCCCATTCAGCAGATCCGAGAGTGGTACGCGCGGCGCTGCAGTCTTCGGAGTGGTGCTCCTGGTGCTGCGGACCCCAGCGGTGGCGCTGCTGCTGGTGCTGAGGACCCGGGCGTTGGAGCTACTGCTGGAGCTGAGGACCCGGACGGTGGAGCTGCTGCTGGTGCTGAGGACCCGAGCGGTCGAGCTGCTGCTGGTGCTGAGGACCCGGGCGTTGGAGCTACTGCTGGAGCTGAGGACCCGGACGGTGGAGCTGCTGCTGGTGCTGAG